TGTGCATGGTTTAGTAAAAACCATTTGGAAATTACTACAAATTCAAGCTATTCAACTGGGAAAAGATGGAGATAAGGCTGTTTGGAATCTGTACGGAATCAGGTTAGTTTCACATTGATTTTATTTAGATACCATAACAACTTTTTGTCTGATTTCCAGAAAAGACATACATAAAATGTTGATACTGGCTTTCTGTCTATCTGTGTTTTTCCTGTTTGGTTTTTTTTTTTCCTTCACTGTGCAGGTAATCAAGCACTGGCACAGGTTGCCCACAGAGGTTGTGGAATCTCCATCCTTGGAGACACCAAAACCTGACTGCATGTGATCCTGGGCAGCCTTCACTAGCTGGCTCTGCTTGAGCACATGGGTTGAATTAGATGACCTGAGGAGGTCCCTTTCAACCTAAATGATTCTCTGATTCTGTGGGTTTTTTGGTTGAAAGGTTTAAGGAGTTTTATAGTACAGGAGTAAGATAAGCTCAAAAGGGGCAATGGCAACATGAAGGCTGTGTGCGAGAAAGAACGAATAAATACTGGGACTTGTTCAAATACAGTAGCTGCATGATTGCTAATAGTCCTTTTAATAAGTCTTTTATTTTAAGACTGTGGACTACTTCCCTCTCACTTGTTTTTCCTGCTTTATTCCTATTACCAAAGTAAGGTTCCTGAATGCTGTTAAAGTAGTTGCCATGTAAAAATAAATGATTTAAAGATGCATCCAGAGCTACTCATATAAAGCTACTTGCTTGTCACGCAGTAGCAGCCTTCCTAAGGGACATCTTAGTGACTTCGTCCAGCTCTTGTGAAACCATGAGTCAGGGCTGACATTAACAGCCGCTATTGTGTCTTTTCTGGAGAAGGTCCCAGCTCGGTAGATGTCATGAACATTTTTCAAGTTGCTTTTTATGCAGTTAAGAGGTATCATTTTAGCAGGCTGTAGCTATAATGCTTTAAGGATATGAAAGTCACTACTACTTCCCCCCCTTTCTCTCCTTCCCCCCACCGAAAGAAAAATTGCTGGTAACATACAAGGAAGGTGAAATTCAATTGTTCAGAATGGTTTAAAGTAATAGAGAACTGAAGATAAGCAGCAGACTTATACTTAGCCAATACATTTTTTGTTTTTCCTTTTGCTTCCAGTTAGCTTTAATGAAGAGAGATGTCAGGTTGTTTGACTTAGTTTTGAATATCTAGTAGGTCAAGGTCCTGTGATTTTGAGATCTGATTTTTGGTTTCTAGTGTACAGAAAGGCCTGTCTTTATTCAGTGACTTGTTATGTAACAATTTTTGTAGTTGTGTTTTATCAAGTGCCATTAAAACTTAATTTCTGAAAGAAATGAAAGAATGTATACAATAACTCACCAACAGTAGCCCTCTATTACAGTGTACATATATTATGCTGTTAACTATGCAAAAGTATTCCATACAGAAATTATCAATGAAGAATCAAAAAGCACCAGTATGTTCTCAAGTAGTTTGCTATTGTCATCTCTCTTGGGACATTTTAAAACCAGTATTACAGGGTAATAAATAAATTTGGTTTAATGTTAAAGTTAATTCTGGACAACAGAATTACTTTTATAATACTGTTTCTTGGGATGATGTAATATCATGAACCGTTCCTGAAAAGAAATGGGAGAAAATGATGTCTTGTATTTTGGGGGTTTTGTTTGGTGTTGCATTGGGTTTGTCTGGGATGGAGTTAAGCTTTCCCCATAGCAGCCATCATAGTGCTGTGCTTTGCATTTGCAGCCAGAACAGTGTTGATAACACACGGGTGTTTTGCCTACTACTGAGCAGTGCTTTCTCTCCAGCCCACTCCCACCCCTTCAAAGGCCAGTAAGGTGGGGGTGGGCAAGACTTTGGGAGGGACATAGCCAGGACAGCTGACCCAAATTGACCAAAGGGATATTTCGTACCATATGACTTTGTGCTCAGCAATAAAAGCTGAGAGAAAGGAGCCGGGGGCAGGGGACATTCATTATTAAGGCGTTTGTCTTCCGAAGCAACCGCTACACATACTGAAGCCCTATTTCCCAGGAAGTGGATGGACGTTGCCTGCAGTTGGGAAGTAGAGAATAAATATTTTTGTTTTCCTTTGCTTTCATGTACAGCCTTTGCTTTTTTTTATTAAACTGCCTTTATCTCGACCTACAAGTTTTTAATCTCGTTTTCTCCCTGTCCTGCTAAACAGGGGGAGTGGGAGAGCAGCTTGGTGGGCACCTGGCGGCCAGCCAAGGTCAACCCACCACATAGGTTTTCTGATTTCATCTGGGGAAGCTTCTGTAGTTTTAATGCTGGGATTCTCCACTTCCTGTAAGCAAATTAACCTTGGAAGATAGAGAAGGGAATACCTCTGTTCCTACAGAAAGTGGGAAATATTCCTTTTACCCTGGTAAGTTGGTAGAAAACTGCCTCACGTATCACTGAATTTTGGGATTCCTAATTGTTTCCATAAGCTGTGTAAGTACCACCATTTTATTGGGGGGTGGTTTTTTGTTTGGTTTGTTGTTTTTTTTTTAATAACTAGTATTCCAAAGGTGGATAAATACCAAAACAAATATGCTGGGGTTTTTTTAAGGATGTGTGTAAAAAGTGATGTGATTTTTAAATTCACATATGGGATGATCTGCACTTTTTGTTATGAAGTTAGGACCAGCTGTAGCAGAAACAGAAGTAGTCTGCAAGTTGATCTCAGTAGAACTGAGTATTCCCAGTGTATTTATTATCTCTCGTCTGGCATAAAGTTGTCTGTTTCCTATGCATATTAATAAAACTGTCCAGTAACCTAAGCTCAAGCTGAACTGAGTGGGAGGGCAGGGAAGAGGGGTTTTTGAGGAGCGCTTTGTCAGCATTCTCGGTGCAGAGAATGGGTTATGACATGCATGTACAGAACTTTGGCTATAAATTTTTGCTAAAAGCTATTAACTTTTTTTATGAACTAGTATTTTACATTATTCTTAATGATTCACCATGCATGGTTTTTATTGTCTTAAAATTCTGGAGAGCTGCCAACTTTCTGAAATCAAAACTCAGAGCAGGTAGAAAAATGCTTTAAAAATGCCTATTTTATATAGTAAAGTGCTATTCCATCTTTCTGAAAGGGCCAGGGTCACAGCTGCATACATAGAAAAGTATGTTGACTGCAGATGTTGTTTCCTCACACAGAAAAAGCAATCTGTCACTGAATTTGTGCTCCAAATCAGACTGGAGCTCTCTTGTGTTCAGCGATGTAACAAAAAGGTTGAGATTACCTAAAAGTTAAAAATAATTTTTGTTTTATTGTTGCCCCTCACATAAGATTTATCTTTGTTTCCCTAGACACTTAATGTATTTACAGGTGGATAGCTGCTGTGTCTGGTTGTGCATTTTGCTTTATCCTGAACCCACCAGCAATAATTTGGGGTAGTAGCACTGTAATGTCATTTAAAGATGTGTGTTTTACAGTGCTGTGCTAGCAATTCTTAAGTTAGTGTTGACGATAAATTGCATCTACACACCTCATTTTTCCTACCGCTAATAGCGTTATTAAATGGAACTTTTTTGGGCTGTGCATTTTGGTGTTTCATTATTAATCAATGTTCCCTATGGAGCTTAGCTGATTTTTTTTCATCATCCAGTTCAGTGCAGTTATATTAGTTTCAGAACACACAATCTGTCATAAAAGGCTTGCTTTTTTTCTGGATAGTAAGCCATTTTAACTTTAGGCTTGATGGGTTACGTGCTGACTTTATGAAGGTTCCACTGTCTTCAGTGTCATAGCAGCACTTAGATGACTGGAGACATACTCTTCTCATTAGGAGAGGTAATTAATTCTTAAAATATGACAAAGATATTGAAATAAGCAGCTGCTATAACTCTGTATGTCTATACAGGGCTATGCACTTTCAAGGTCCCGGTACGGTATGTGAACAGTATTTCTAGTTGCTGCCTGATAAATGATCCCGTCTATGATCTTGCTGGGTTCAAGTACTAGACAGGCAACAAGTTTCTTGCCTCTTGCATGCTGTCATCTTGGAAAGTTGCAATGAGGCAATTACCTTAGCTTTTCTAGTCTTCGTACACAGATTGTAAAAGACTCTGTAACTTTAGTAAAATGTTTACAGAATCGAGGAAGGTGGACCTATGAAGACCATGTATTTAAGTTAACAAATTTTACAGAAATTGATGTGGGAAGTGCCAGGCTTCTAGCCCCAAATATGAAGGCGAGACCTGTAATATATAATACTTAGTATCTGTTTTCTGAACATGCTTCAAGTAGTCCATCACATCAGCCAGCTTTCTGAAAGTCCTTGTGTCTTCAAATTATATATTTGCCTGAACAGAAACACACCTTTTTGGAAGAAAAATTGTTTGAGGAGCAGAGAGAGAACCCAGCATAAAACAACAAACAAACCAAACCCTTCCCTCCTCCCCAGCCCCCCAAAAAACTACCTTCTGAGCTTGATAAACTGTTCCAGTGACTGATTCTTCCTCAGTGAAAATACATTCTCTTTTTTTTAGTCTGAATTTGTCACTTTCAGTTACCAACCTCTGATTCTTGTATGCTAGCTTGAAATTTCTTGCTGTATGACTTTTCTGTTCTCAATGAAGGTACTTAGGCTGCAATGACACTATCCCTTAATCTAATCCTTGTTACCTTGTGCTTACACCAAGAGATGTGTTTTTGCAGGTCTTCATGAGACAGCCATAAGAATAATTAAACTTCTCCAGATTTTTAATAACTGACTTGAAAGATGGGCACCAGAATAGGAGCATAGCCTGTAGATTGAGGGCAATGATTATGCTTTTTCCTTGGCACTTACCAGACGGTATCTGGAGTACCATGTCCAGGTTTGGGACCCCCAGTAGAAGAAAGAAGTGATAAACTGGAGCAAGTTTAGTGGAGGGCCTCTAGGATGGTCATAGGGCTGAAGCACATGCTGTTCGCTGAGGGAATTAGGCACATTTAGGCTGGAGGAGAGACCACCTGGAGCAGACCTAACAGCTGCCTTCCCCAGGGCTGAAGAATATATAGAATAGAATAGGCTATTTTAGTTGGAAGGGACCTGCAACGATCATCTAGTCCAACTGCTTGACCACTCCAGGGCTGACCAGAAGTTA